GTTTCAATTCCCGAAAAATGTGAATTATGTAGATGGAGAAAAATCTTACAAGAAATCTTCATCATCGCACAAGGAGTACCGTCGAGAATGAATCTCATAGAACGGTTAAAGGTGATGTAGTCAGATGTAAATCCTCATAAGACAAGTAGAATTTTCAGCTATAATATCGTCTTTATAATATTTCTCGTAATTTGTAATAGTATAATTAATCTAAAAAAATCGAAACTTGAAAATGCGAAATAAAATCTAGTTAAAACTTAAGATATAAGATTCGTAATTGCAAAATTCATGTCGAGAATCATTGTTGCAGCAGTGCATCAAATCCAACACTACTTACCATAAGATCGAGTCATGTCTCTTCACATTCAAATACCATGTTTTCAGTCAAGATTTTGTTTTTGTAGATTTACAAATAAAATCACCGAATTATCGTAGATGCAATCGAAAATCAGAAATAAAACATTTTTACTTCTAAATATACCAAAATTAGAGCTAAATCTAGAAATAAATCCATATCATAACCTACCCTAACTTTTAGTTGTGATATAGTTTTTTTAACACTGGATAATTATACTATTACAAACTACAAAATGATTCTACAGCTGAAAATTTTAGCATAAGCCGTCCTATCAGATCCACCCTCAATAGTATGTAGTCTTTGCATCATGCTGCAGATATCTTGTAAGTCTTTTCTCATTCAATTCACATAATTTTGCATTTTCTGGAATTCGAAATCCAAACCTCCTGGTATAGAAGCATTAATGAACCATTAATCAAACTACTGGACCAAGAGGATTTCTACAAAATAAGTAGTTGTGATATAATTTAATTCTAACATTTATGAATTTATTAAAACGATAATTTTTATTTTACCACAAATTTGATATTATTTTTCAAATTTATCTTTAATTTTCATAATTATTTATAAATATCTAGGAGTTATTTATATATTCTTATATAAATTCATTCTCATATTTTAAATATTAAATCATAAAAATAATCACTAAAACTTAGAATCAAACGTTAATGATATTTTGATTAAATTTATTTTTGAAATGTAGTATCCAATCTATATATATATCAAATCGGTTTTCTTTATTAAGCTTCATATCGGTTCGGTTCGGTTCGATATATTGCTCATTAACCGGGTCCTGATCACGAGTCAGACTTTTCCTTTATCCCCAATGAGAAGCTCACACTCAGAGCTTCAATGGCGATATCTTCTCCTTCATTAACATCATCATCATTCCCTCACAGAGAAACCATCACTAACCCTTTAAAATGCACTTCCCTCAGAGAGCTGATTCATATACACGCTTACGCCATCAAATCCCATCTCCACAACCACAAAGATCCTTCCTTTATCACAAAGCTAATAGATTTCTGCACGTCGTCTTCAATGTCATACGCACGCCACTGTTCGACGCAATGCCTGAACCAGATATCGTGAGTTTTAACTCTATCGCTCGTGGGTATTCTCGTTCATTGAACCCTATTGAGGGTCCAATTGGTAATGACTTTCGCTTTAGGCTTTAACTTTATAATTGTGGCTGTAGAGATTTTGGCTTTAAAGACTGTAATTCTTACTTTAAAAAAAATTAAAAGCTTGATTGGTATCTAAAGCTTTAGAAGCTGTGACTATTATTATAAATATATATTTAGGATCCGTTCTCCAAAATATATAGGGTTTTTAGTGATTAAAACCTCCAACTAATTTTAAATCGGATGAAAAACCTCCAATTAAAATTTTATGTTTTTAAACCTCCAACTATTAAACCGTTAATATCGTTAACTTTCCGTTATCAAAATCGTTTTTTCTTAACAGAGATCCGTTAAATCGAAACACCGCTTTCATGTAATTTCAAAAACGACTTAAGGTTCTTATCATCAAAATATAATTCGATGATTTAAACCTCCAACTATTTTTAAATCGGATAGAAAACCCCCAACATAAAATTTTAGATTTTTAAACCCTCAACTATTAAATCTTTAATGCTTTTAACCCTCTGTAAACAAAGTTATATTTTCTGAATGAGAAACCGTTAAATTGAAACACAGAGTTTCATGTAATCATATAAACGACATGAAATGTTTAAACCCCCTATATCAATGGGCAATGACTATCACAATTCATCCTCAAATAAAAAAAGTTAAAGTTCTTTTTCCTCTTCATCGAAGGTGAGGTAAGTCAAAAAATTGTATTGTTTCTAATTTTAGGCTATGATTGTATGGCACTTCTGACGATATATTTTAAGTGTAAAACATATTTACTTTGACTCCAGCTAATATTTAGCCAATCAGGTGAAAAAAGTTCAACTTTCCTTTTCGCTAGTTACTGTTGAAACATAGTAAACAAATTTCTCTCTTGGTTTAGGCAGAGAAATATGTGTTGTGTTGGCCTTTGTATTGTTTTCCACTTTTTATTTTCTTCTCTCTTTCACCTATTTATTTTACTCTATTTTACCTTAATGGCCCATCGATCATTGCCCAAAAAATTCCGAGATTGACGCTTAAAGAGTCATCATCTCGAGGGGCGTATTAGGGACAAAGGTCCCACATCAGTTGTTGGAAGGGATTATAAGGAATATATAAGATAGATGGGCCACATCACTTATTGCCAACTGGTTTTAGGGTGGAAGCCCATCTACCTTAACATTGTATCACAGCCCATGATCCACAAAGTCCAACCTGATTCTTATTGATCCAGTCCAAATTTGGCCCATCGATCTTTGCCCGAACATCGGTCCCACATCGGAAGTTGCAAGGGATTTTATCTAGTATATAAGAGAGATGGACCATTCCACTTATCACCAATTGGTTTTAGGTTGGAAGCCCATCTACCTTAACAGTACGCAATCAACCCTAATTCTTTCTCTCTTGTTCATTTTTTTATTTGAGGATGAATTGTGATTATCATTACTCATTGATATAGGGGGTTTGAACATTTCATGTCGTTTATATGATTACATGAAACTCTGTGTTTCAATTTAACGGTTTCCCGTTCAGAAAATATGACTTTGTTTACAGAGGGTTAAAAACATTAAAAGTTTAATAGTTGAGGGTATAAAAATATTTAAAAAATTGTTAAGGGTTTTCTATCCGGTTTAAAAATAGTTGGAGGTTTAAAAATCACTAAAATATATATTGATGATAAGAATCTCTTGCCGTTTTTGAAATTACATGAAACGCGGTGTTTCGATTTAACGGATTTCCGTTAAGAAAAAACGATTTTGATAACGGAAGGTTAACGGTATTAACGGTTTAATAGTTGGAGGTTTAAAAACATAAATTTTAGTTGGAGGTTTTTTATCCGATTTAAAAATAGTTGGAGGTTTAAATCACTAAAAACCCAAGTATATATTACCTATTTTTCTATCTGTTTTTTATTTTTAAAAGTCCATGAAATATATTGGATAATTTAAAACACAAATCAATCAAATTCCCGATTTTCACGATTATCTTTGAAAAATTAACATTTATCCGCAGAAATTGACATTTATCCGTGAGCATGTAATGTTGCAAGCTCAGTCGCTACGTAGCAACCGAATGCGTTGTGTGCTCGGTCGTTACATAGCGACCGAGCTCGTCTCTTGTTTGGCATTTTATTTTTGTCTCTTTGAAATTTTGAGTGTTAACTTTGTCGTTGACCATTTTCGATCCCAACATTTATTGGTCAATCATTTTTAAGAAGTAAAAACTGTGGCTGTCAATTAAAGTAAATTTAAAAGTCTGATTGGTATTCAAAATTGTAAAAGCTGTGCAACTCTTTATTTAAAATAAGTTTATGCTAAATTTTAATATATATATATATATATATAAATATTGAAAACTGAAATAATATTATATATTAAATGCTACAAATGTAAGTTTTGACTTATTTTATTAAAATATATTTGATAATATTTGATTTTTTTTAGTATTATAAAGAATGTCATTTCAGGATTTTATTACATATAAAATCTAATATTATAATTTTAATATAATTTATACACATTTTAGTTTTTAATATTAGTTAGTATGACTATTGATAAAAAGCATAATTAATAATGACTCTTTCATGAAACAAAAAATAATAATAACACTAAATTAATAAATGTTTTTCTTACAACAAAATCCATTTTAAAAACAATTAATATTTTATCATCCTGTTTATTGAATTTTGTTTTAGTTGTGTTAAATAATTTATTTTTATTGAACCACAGCCTCCTCAAAGTCTGGTGAATGTGGCTTTAGAACAAATCAATACATAATGAGTAAAAATGTAACAGTCAAACGGTTGGAGGCTGTACGAGTTTTAGAGAAAAAAAAAAGGAACGAAAAGCATGATTGGCTTTAAAATAACTCTGAGGACTGTGTGGTTACGTAAAGTCTCAACAGCTTTCGTGCCAATCGGACTCTGAGTCTTTCACTCTCTTCGTTGACGTCTTGGAACGTGGGATGTTGCCTGATCACTACACGTTCCCGTCTCTCCTCAAAGCTTGCGGAGCTGCAAAAGGGCTTGAAGAAGGTAGACAGTTGCATTGTCTGGCCATGAAGCTAGGGCTTGATGATGATGTATTTGTTTTGCCCTACTCTTATCAATATGTACACCGAGTGTGATGACGTGGAGGCTGCTAGAGTCTTTGATCTGGGATCTTTGAACCGTGTGCTGTTTCTTACAATGCTATGATAGACCAAACGAGGCGTTGTCTGTTGTTCCGTGTGATGCAAGGTAAGAGCTTGAAGGTGAATGAAATCACCCTTTTCAGTGTTCTGTCTTCTTGTTCTCTTTTGGGGTCGTTAGGTTTAGGGAAATGGTTACATGAGTATGCGAAGAAACACTGGTTCTGTAAGTATGTGAAAGTAAACACCGCGTTGATCGGATATGTTTGCTAAATGCGGTAGCTTGGACGATGCTGTGTCTTTGTTTGAGGAGATGAGAGATAAGGATACACCAGCTTGGTCAGCGATGATTGTAGCTTACGCAAACCACGGGGAAGTCTATGTTGATGTTTGAGAGGATGAGATCTGAGAGTGTTCTGCCTGATGAGATCACATTTCTTGGTCTGTTAAACGCTTGCAGCCACAGAGGTTTAGTGGAAGAAGGGCGTGAGTACTTCTCACGGATGGTTAACGAGTTCAGGATTGTTCCGAGTGTTAAGCACTATGGTTCTATGGTGGATCTTCTTGGTAGAGCTGGACTGTTTAGATAATGCATTTAGATTCATTGATACACTACCAATAAGTCCAACACCTTTGTTATGGAGGATTCTCTTATCTTCTTGTAGCAGTTATAATGATTTGAAGCTAGCTGAGAAGGTTAGTGAAAGGATCTTTGAGGTAGATGACTCACACGGTGGCGGTGGCGATTACGTGATCTTATCAAACCTATACGGTAGAAACAAGAAATGGGAAAGTGTAGATTCTTTGAGAAAGGTGATGAAAGATCGAAAAGCGGTGAAAGTTCCAGGGTGCAGCTCTATAGAGGTTAAGAACGTGGTTCATGAGTTTTTCTCAGGGGCTGGTGTGAATGTGAAGTCTAATACACCCACAAAGCTTCACAGAGCATTAGATGAAATGGTGAGAGAGCTAAAGCTTGTAGGGTATGTTCCTGATACGTCGATGGTGGTTCATGCGGATATGAATGATCATGAAAAGGAGATTACGGTTAGGTATCATAGTGAAAAGCTTGCGATTGCGTTTGGAGTGTTGAATACTCCTCCAGGGACGACGATTCGGGTTGTGAAGAATCTGAGGGTGTGTAGAGATTTCCACAATGCTGCTAAGTTGATATCTGTTGTGTTTGGTAGGAGAGTTGCTCTTAAAGATGTTCAGAGGTTTCATCATTTTGAAGATGGTAATTGTTCTTGTGGGGATTTTTGGTGACAACATCCACTGAAACAACGATGTACTTTTTCGTATTTATGTAAAAAAGATGTAAACGTATAGTTTTTAGAGAAAATTACTAGAATGATACACAAAAGCTTGTATATGACTAGAATAATATATATTTTCTAAAAATTACTAGAATGTTTTTAGACTCCTAATAAATTACAATAAACACCCTTATTTAATTTTGTTACTATTGATACAAATTTTAATTATTAAATCCATATCATAATTTGACAATCCACGTCACTAACTAATTTGTGTCATCAATTACACTGGAAAATCAACAGTCCCATATCTCCGGTGAACAAAAAAAAAAAGTCTTAATGTTACATTCTTCTCCGTCACAACTATCGTTAAACCCTAACCGATTACGAAATCCCGAAATCATCTCCGTCACAACTAATACTCTCGTTTCAAACAGTGTTTCTGATATCTTAAATCATCTTCGTCGACCTCGTTAAACCCTAACCGTCTCTGATATCATCTTCGTCGACATCCTCTTCTCCGCAAAAGTTTTGACGTAATCGTATCTACGACATCATCTTCTCATCTTCTCTGGTATGTTGTGCCTGAGTTTGATTTACGTCGTGTCTGAGTTATAGATTATGTTGTTACTGAGTTATTGTATAGTGTGGCTGAGTTGAGTTTGATTTATGAAGTGGCTGAGTTATTGATTATGATCCGACTGAGTTATTGATTATGTTTTGGCTGAGTTA